TGTCTGGATTTTTGCTTGTGTTTCAGCTTTATTGCCCTTGAAGCTATCCTGGTTCTCAGCCAGTACAGCTAATTTTTTCACAGTAACTGTGAGAGGACGGAGTCTGGAGCCATGTGGGCATGTCTAGATTATTATTCTGTATCACCTCTTGTCACTGTCAGGGCAGAAATGCTTCCCAGAAGGAAGGGGAATGGCTCGTGGTCAGGAAGAAGAGCATGAGTGAAAAGGATCTGTCTGCCATTTTGTTCATTTGTGGGTCACACTGAGTCAGCTTGGGCTCATGAGCATTTTTTGCCTGTAAATCACCCTCTTTTTTCTGTACCTTTCTTATTAAGTGTTACTGTTACTGTTTGTTTTCTTATTTCATTACTGTTTCCAGTAAATTCTTCCTATTTCAACCCATAACCTCTGTCTTTTGTGTCTCCCACCAGACACAAAGAGCAGAAGAGCAGTGGGAGGAGCAGTGTCTGGTTTGGATTAGTCTTGGTTGGGGGTATCACTAAATTAGGGAGTAACATTCCTGAACCATGACAAAAGCCTCTTAGACCACGACCTGCATGGAAATTTTGGAGCTGCTCTGGTGGTAGTAACCCATTGTATAGTTTCATTTTGTTCTCCCTAGTGAAAAAGTTTTTGTCTCATGTAAGGCAAATATGTGCAAAATGAGTGAGAAAAATTCAACAGGGGATAAGCATCATTTAGGACTCATGAAAGGTGCTGTTGTAACAGGATATTTTTATACTTATATGAATTTAAGTGTCATGATTTTTTGGAAGAGTTGGGGTGAATTGCAAAAGTTTACCTGCCCCAAGGCTCCTTGAGGCAATGGGACAAGCTGTGCACAACTGTCAAGATATTACTGGTGGGTAAGATCTAGCATCTCCAGGGACAGGAGATCAGAGCCTTCTGTATCCTTCTGGCCTCCCGGCCGGTGTGCAATTCTGTTCTCCCGTGTTTAACTCATGTACCATACTTGTTTGTAGTAGCTTATCTAGCTGGAAGGAGAAATTGTTTTGCTGTGATAAATGGTAATTAGAGAAATCACCTTCAAATAAATTCTTTAAAAGCTGTATGGCATATTTCCCTATTTGTGTGCTTTCCCTTGTCTCAGAAAAATGTGATTCCTACTTCTTGATTTAAAAAAATCCCTGAAAGTAGAAGGTTACCAGATCTGAAAACTTAATTTTGTAGTCTTTATTTTTTTTCTTTATGTGACTTTTTTATTTTGATGTATTAGAAGTTCAAGATGGGGATCTGAGCTGCTCTGCCTCAGTAAAGGTAATAGTGGTTCAATGCCTCCAGATTCAAGGCCTCAAGGCCTATGACTTTCTGGCAACAGTCTACTTCGGAGGGAAAAAATAAAAAAGGAAAAAACAAAGAAATAAGTAAAATTTGGCACTGAAACACAAAATACGTGAACCTGTCACAGTAAGCAGTCTCAAAGGGCAAGCTGCTTTGCAGGAGCTAATTAACCTTAGGAAATAATTACACAAATATGCAAATGTTGTTTAGACAATTCCATGTGTTATCGACTCAGGTAGTCCATCATAACTGCAGACCTTGCAATGTCTAGGTGTTAGGATCTGGCATAGTTGATAAGGCTTCAATTGCTGCATCACTCCAACCTGGTATTTAACAATTAATGACTGTGATATTACATTGGTAAATTTAACCTGTTTTTTGAATGCAACAGAATGTCATATTGTATTCACAGTGTGCATACTGCTTATCTCTATATACCTAATGGCTCCAACTATTAAAATGTTATATACCTTTCAACTCCTATCACTAGCCATGCTGGAAAAAATGGCAGACCAAAATATGAGTTCACTCCCTCCACGTTTCTGCCCAATGCATGGCCCAGGAGCAGCCTTGTTTGGATTGCTTTGCATTGCATAAACATTGTACTAGGGCCTTTTCACATCATACAGTTTTAATCTTTTCTTCCCTTCATGTCTAATTGTATATATAATGATCAAGAGGAAGGGTTTTCAGAGGGATGGAGAACAACAAGTCCAAAGAACCAGACCACTTATTTTGATATAGAATTACCTGCTGTAGGTGACCAGCTTTCACAGTGGGAAGTCGAAGTTCAAGTTTTCCTGCACGTCTCCAGCTCAATCTGTTTCGCAAACGAGAATGCATTCAGCCTAAGGTGCCTTTTGAGGTATATAGTCTGATTTTTCCAGACTAATGTCCATTCATTTCTGTACACTTGTGTAATTTCTGTACACTTGTGTAGATAATTATGTAAACTCTGACTGGAAGACCCCCTCTCTATCAAATAATTTAACAATGTTCTATATAAGTGCATTCAGTTTAGCTTCAGTGAAATTACAGAAAGCAACAGCTGCCTGAGACTGTCACCTTTCATGCTGAAAATGCAGCATCCTGTCTTATAATTTAATCCAAGCCAGGCAGTAGAGGTTAAACCTCAGAGACCCAGTCAATTTGAAATCCTAAGGAGATCAACTGTGTACTGCTCCTTCAGCTGGATATTCCATGTACACACCTGGAGCCAGGTCTGAGGTGTTTGTAATATAGGCTAGTTACAAGGGAGAAAAATAAGCAGATGCTCTGAAGAAAGGGCTTTTCTTCTAAGCATTTAGGACTCCTCCAGACTCCTTACACATATGTGCTTTTCTTACCTTATTTAGGGTTTTAGCAGAGTGTACAGCAACCCAGTTTATCCTGACACTTTTTGGTTTGTTTGTTTTTTTTTCTTTTTGAACTGGTAATAAAGGAAGTGGCAGTCTATATATAACTCATTCTAGCTCATTTCTTTTTGCATTTATAGAATCCTGTTGAATCTTTGTACTAGACTGTGAAGCTGTGAAGTTATTAATTTAGTTTACTAGACCACTGGTTATGCTTTGATTGCTGAAAACTTTATTGGTTGAGTTCAGAAGCTTTTTGCTTCTGAACTCAGCCCATCTTTTGCTTCTGATGTCTTAGTCTTGTGGAACTTAAAATGGTATACTTTCACTAGCAGTGTCTCAAATAATAAATCCAAAGTAACCTGAAAATGCTATAGTATGCAGAAAAAAAGTCCTCTTTTTCTCAGATTGTTTAAACAGCATTGAGCATCTATACAAAAATTGCTGTTAAAAGTATCAATGCCAACATTATTATTAAAAAATAAGTACCTCCTGTGTACATAACTAAGATAAATCTTTTAGATAAATCAGTCATTCTGAAACTTTTTCAGTGTTTTAATGTACTTTTTTTCCGTACAGATTATAGAGCACATCACTTTTGCATAGGAAACTCCTGTTCAAGTTGTCCTTCAGCTTTATCTTAATAACTGGTTTGTCAATCATATTTTCTTTATGTAATTTCTTCTAAAAATTTTCCCTCATTCCTCACAAAGGGAGGAGTCTTTACTTTCTGTGCAGATCTATACAATCAAATTTTAAACCAGCAACAAACTGTTTTGAAATAAGTCCTTTCCTATACTGAGGTAGTTTACAATAGGTGATACAGAATTAGTTAAAACTATGTTCTGTCATAGTCAATGAAGAGCAGAATCTGTCCAGGAGAAGAAGAAACTCAGATTTTTCTGTCTTAAAATGACTGCTGCTGAGGCAGAATCATTATTGTAAAAACGTTGAGTCGGGATCCATAAAATATTTGTTGTCATCTGACTCTTACTAACTCTTAGAAAACAGGGTATGAGAATAGAAATAAAAGCCAGAATCAACCACATTATTTAGGTATGTCTCTTCCCACTGATTTTAACCACAAGAACTTAAATCCCCAAAACTCGTTGCAGAATGGAATTGAGATCTAGATCACCTCAACGTTCTTGATAAATTTCAATAATTCACACTGTATAATTAGCAGCTTCTGATTACCAGTGGCTTTTACTGGTTTGTGCTTTCTTTCTCCTAAGGAAACCAGGCTTTTCTTGTCTGTGTCTGAGTGAGCTAAGGATATGAAGTTGTTGCTGGCACCAACCAAAGGGAAAAGGGACACAAACTTTGGGAAATTACATTACCTTGACTGATCAGCTCTTTCTGGCATTCAGGAGTCTGGAAAGAGCCAACGTTGTTATCCTGGTTGTGTGAAATGTTGGCAGAACAGGGTGCCTAGCAGAGCATCTTATTCTTGTTGCCTGAGACTACACCAAATTTGTAGTTATGACCTCAAGAACCCAAGAAAAAGGGAAAACTAGAGGGGTATAGTTCTTTCCAAGAGCCTCAAGGATACACAACCGTGTACAGGTGTTGTACAGGTTGTGTACAGGTACACAACCGTGAGTTTTGATGAGACTGCACTAAAATCAATGTGTGTCTCTCTAGTGCCTTCTGTGACTCTTACACTGGCTGACTTTGACAAAATCTTATTCAATAGTAAGAAAACATGGTCCCCTAGCTACGAAAAACTCCAAAGTAATGGCTGCCACCGGTCAAGAGTTGTTTTCTTTGCACCGTCTCATAGTCTACAGTCACAAAAAGTAAGACTTGAAAAGAGTAGTTGCAAATACCATAATTTTAATCTTAGTTCAAGTTTCCAGTGCCTCATAGTATGAAAAAAAAAAAAAAGTAAAAATTGAAATTACAGGCCTTTACCAACCAAAATTATTCTACAATTATGTATTTATATTGTTCTTACCTGGTTTTATTTACCAATCTAAGACACAAGTACTTTAAACAAACCCTCAGTGAACAAATATTTGACGAAAGAGTTGTCAAAAGAATGAAAATCTGAGCTATGACTCATAATTCCTATGAATGGCTCTGTTTAGCAGAATTGTCGTCATGGTATTTACGTAAAATTTTGCAGATGCAGAATTTTGTTATACTTACTAAAGTATGCTCAGAAAGCAACAGTTTTACTGCCTTTATTTAGACAAAAGGATCAGTTCTCTTTTTGATACTCTAGTGTGTATTCATTTAATCTTTCTTTTAACAAAACATTCTAACATATAGGAACATGTTTTTAGACAGAATTGCCATTTTTTAAAAGATAATTGTCACAAACATTATTTCTTTCTGCAGGATAATGGCTCTCCTGAAGAACATGCGATTTATGTTTGGGACCATTTTATTTCCCAGTCAGCTGCAGAGAATGTATTTTTTGTTGCTCACAGTTATGGTGGACTTGCCTTTGTAGAGTTGGTAAGTGTGAATTCTCTATTGCTGTCTTTGCTCAAGACTGTCACAGATTTCTACATTCTTTGTGATCATCTTATTGAAAGTAGCTTGGCAGAAACAGACGCCAGTGGTCATGTACAGGTTGGTCAGGATTTCTTTGCAGCCAGAAGGTCGCTGTATCTTTTCTAGTTTTGAGATAGATAGTAAGGTCTCAAGTGTGCATGAACCTGAAAGACTGTGGGGAAACAGAACATGCTGCATCTTTCTTGTCCAGACTATGTGCTGAAAGGCACCAGTTTCTGCTGTGGGGCAGAAAGACCTGGGGGCATATGAGACTAAGGACATATAAGAACAGTTTTGAAGCAAAGTCACAGACACAAATGCAGCTTTTTGTATATAGATTGGAACAGAATGTGCAGGGAAATATGGCAGTTTTATTCAGTTTTTGCAGTTTTTCTACAAAGATCTGGAGAACTTGCTGGAAGGACTTCTGTTTTCCCATTTATTAGGCTCTGTAGCGATATAAGGTGGGAAAAACTTTGCTCAGTGTAAAGCTGTTCTACATCTGGTGCTGAAACTGCTGAACATCTAGTTTGTCATTTTTTCACTCTTTTCTCTAAAGGCAGATCTCTCGACCCCATCTGGTATACCAAGCTGCCTGTTAAACTTGTGTTTCATTCTGTCAGTGTAGCTACAGTCTCTTCATATGATTTTAAAACAGTAGTGTAATCCCGATATGTTTTATTAAAGAAAACTACAGAAAAGTAAGGGTCCTGTTATTGCAGAAAGTTAAATTGCAGAGCATTAGAACTGGTTTTATAGACACAGGAAACAGCAGGCATATATGTACATCTTTTGTCTACAACACATCCATTTAATCTAACTGAAAGTTGATTAAGGTGTTTCCTGCCTGAACATGAGATGAATGACTTTGTTAAGAAAAAGCATGCCATGAGCATGTTGGTTTTAGTCTTACGTTGCTCCAAGTAGCAATAACAATCCAGACAATGGCCACTGGTATTATTTTGAGAACTTGAGATTTTCCTAAACCCCCCTTTTTTGTTGTTGAAATTGATGCCGTTTTCATTGTCTCTGAGGTCCTGGAAGAGTGTGTGCAAAATACACATGATGTGTACAGGTTTGAGACTTGAGAAACAGTTCATTTTCCTGATCTGAAGATCATTTGAGAATTGATAATTTTTCACAGGTGTTTTATTACCTTCTCAATGAATAGTCTCAAAACTAAATTTTGAAGTGAATATTCACCTTGAAGGTGAATAACTCTTTCTGTCACCTCATCTATGGGCAAAAGATGTGTTGCATTGCATGTACCTGTTGCTCTTGAAATGTCATGAACGTTAGGGAGCAATTGTTCTGTCTTGGCTTTCGTGATTTGTGGGTCTCACCTACTTTATGTTTCAGCCCAGGTTATTCTGGTGCGACTTGTGGGTCCAAAGTAAAGATTTGGCAAAATTTCTGTAGGTTTTGTAAAGCCACATTGTTTTGGTCACCAGATGCCCAGAGACACAAAGCAGAGGGCAACTGGAGAGTTTTCTCAGTGTTTCCTAAACAGAGTGCTGACTTGAAGGAGGCTTAGAGAGTTTTTCCATCCCATTTCAGACAATGGCTTGAGGTGGCCTGGGTAACAGATGACCAAGGTGTCATTCCCATTTTCCCTGTTTTTCTTGTCACACTGGTGGATGTTTCTTCACTTTTGTTCTGCTTTAATATGAAGCACACTGATGTTTCAGAGCAGGACTTGACTTCTGACCTTGGGGTTTCCAGGGTCAGGGTGCTCAGGGCCTGTGAAGTTATCACAAGCTGAGCAAAAATTTTTATCAGTTGCAGGAAGCAACCAGTAAGTAAGAAGTTAAGAAGTATCTTTGTCAGAAAGACAAGATGGTCTCAGTAAGGGTCAGCTTCTGTAGTCTGCTGTCTCTGCAGGAGATGCATGCCTGAGACGAGGAATATAATACATATCCATTGACACATCACATATCTGTCACGCAAAACAAGACTTGAAATATATTTTTAATGCAACTCAATGTTTTTTCTAAAAAATCAAAGGGGTAGTTTGATATTTGAGTACTACTAAAAGCAGTTTGATTAAATAATTCATACACTGAACAACATATAATTGAAATAAACCTTGAACTATTTCATCACAATATTCATTTGTAAGGTTTTATTTTGTTATCATCTCCTTTCTCTTAAACTTTATATCCATACGGCATTTAGTAATTGCAATGAGCTCCAAAAAGAAACAGAGCAGCTGATGGGCAATTACTGTCTTATGACAAATAAATTTTCAATCGCTTCACTTTCTACTCTGATTCATGTGGGGGTGATGATGAGGTTGATAGAGCAGCTACACCATATAGCAACTGTACCACCTCTACACTTCCTTTGCAAGCTTTTGGGTTAACTGATTCATGAAATTGTAGGTTACAGTTGTTATGGAAACCTGTTGCACAGCTGCTCCTTCTGCATTTGTGCCTCTTACAGGAGAGCAGTGTGAAGCATATGGCTTTAATTTCGAGTGAAGGTTTCTGCCTGAGCCCTCTGAATTTTATTTTGCCTGCAGGGAAAAAGAAAACAAGCAAAAATATATTAAAAAAATGTGGTTTTAATTAATATCTTCTTAGTCAACTTTCCATGTTCAGTGCTGTGAGGTCTCTCATGATGGCTTGCAGTCATTTCAGCTACAGCTTGCCACTTCATCGTGGTGTAAGGCTCCTGATGAAAACAGGATGTTCTGGCCTTAAACAGAAAAACCCAATGAAAGCTGATATTAGGCAAAGTCTTGTTCATAGACGTTCATACCATTGTGTGGAAGCAGCTACTGCTCTCCCAGGAAAAGGCAGAGAACAATACTCAGCCTTCCACAGGCAGTACCCATCCAGGTGCTCCTTTGTCTGAGGCTGCTGAGGGAGGTAGCATAAGAAAGGCAGTGCTGCTCTGCCTGGTCCCTTGATTGGCATGCACTTTGTTGGGAAACACATAGTGAAAGAGAGCAGATACAACCATCACATATGAAATTGGTATAAAAGGAGGATTATTTTTATTTAGAAAACTTTGTTGTCCAAATTTTGTTCTTCATTCCAAATCTCTTCTCACCATGAAAATAAGGCTGACTTTTGGAAATCCTTCATTAAACAAACAGGTAAGGCTTGGCTGCAATTTTCAAATACGTGCCACTTAAAGTAAAAATTTTATTGATCTTTGCAGCTTTTTGATCTACATTTTCTCATGTCTGTGATTGCAGGATAGTAAGACAAATAGGGTGAGTCTGCAATATCATACTCAAATACACAAAAACTTTTACTGCAACATAGGCACGCATTTTCTGTACCTTCTTGTGTCATAGATTACTAGAGGAATAACTGAAAGTGATTAAAATGTGTGGGAAATAAAGTTTCACCAATAATTGTACTAAGTTTTATTGTTCTGTTGTTTATAGGTTGAATTACAAATGGTAAATCACAAGCCATATGTTAGAATGTATCTTAATATTTACTAAATTAAACTTTGTGTAATTGTGGTTTGAAATAAAACATGCATGTGATAATATCTGCACATAAATTACTTTTGAATGCACAGCACTAAAATAATTGTTGGGTCATTGTGTTTTGCTAATTGCTTATTACTGATTTTGAAAAACTCAAGCCATGATTTGTGAACATATCTCAGCTTCTTAATTCTGTTATCCCTTGCATAGTATAGTCAGGGATTTATTTTGAGAATCAGTTTGCTTTACTTGATGGTAAATTGTGGAACTTTCCCAACTCCAAGCTTATAATAATTTTATGAAATTTAACAGAAAGTGAGAATTTCAAGTTGATGGAGTCAATTTTATATTTAGTTTACAGAAAATAAGAAGTTTCTGGTACAACGCCTCCTTTGTGTTTTCTTGCCAAATTGTATGGGTTTACAATTATTTTGCTTTAGAAATAATGTTTTTCCTTGTCATTGCCTGCATGAAAGACCCACACAGAAGAATCTTTGCAGAACACTTCTGCTGTTTGCTTCCTATATTTCTGAGACCCCTGCATTTTCAGTTATTTCCTCATATTATAACTAGAGTTACAGGTTTTTTTGTTTCAATTAGTTAAACACTATCTTTTAAAAAAATATCAAATATCATGGGAATAATGATAAAATTTTGAGAATCATTAATACTATCTCCATCCTACATCATACTGCTGTGGAAATACCAACTACACACAGGAATGTAATAATTAGGAGAAGGAAAGTAGGTTGTCTCCAGCAGGTATAAACTATTCATTATGGTTCTTTTGGCTAAAATATTGGGTGTATGTATTGTCAATTTGCACAAAGGTGGAGGTAAAATGGGGAGAGGGTGTCCTTTTAGCAAGCTTTTTTACAATGAGAGCTCTTAAAACACACTGATCAAATTACTGTATGTACTGTAAACTTCCAATTCCATCAAATCTGCAAATTTTGGCAATTTGAAATATTCTCGGTCCATCATTTTGAGATCCTCTCTGCAATATGTTGCCACTTCATTTTGCTGTATTATGCTGAGTATGGCAAGGGCCTGGCCCTGACTGGCACTGATAGGTGCCAAAATAATGGTGATAGACAGGCACCTGCTGAGCTACCTGTGAGTCTCTGGGGCTGCATCATTATTCTGGCACAGGCAAAATGCAGTCTAAGAAACTTAATGGCTAGGCTGTGAACCTGTCATTAGTTTTTCATTAATTTAATTTCCTGAAGTCTCAGACTGAATGGTTTGTTATATTTGGCTTTTTATAAATTCTTATATAAATATATCTACTTATTTTTTAATTCAGTTTGACTGGAAAATTGATGAGTGGGTACTGTGGACATGCAATTCTTAATTCCCCTGGATGACATGTTAAATCGAAATATGTCTACTGATGTGTGGTAGAGATAACATAAGATCTGTAATGGCTGTAGGAAGCATGGGAAAGAGCTGGAAGTAGAGAGCTGTGAAGGAAAACACCTCAGTGACCAGGATACTTATTGTGAAGACAAAAGCA